CGTACAAAAACCCACATTTCTAATCCAAATTTCTCTCTGGTAACATGACAGACAAACACAAACATGTATTTTTATTGGGGTTGCCTTTTGTCACCATCCTTTATTTTATGTTTTTGTTATATTACCTCAAACCCTGCAATTTAATGTGTGCATTGAATCATGGGAAAAAACAGTGTGCATCGCCGTGTGATAACTATCATAAAGGTGACTGGCAGGACATAATTGTTTTCAACTCTGGAAGGACAGTTGGAATCTACCAGATGTGCTTGTGATTTACATAACAAAAGGTGTTTACAACTTTGAAAGGACAATTGGAATCTGCCAGGTGTGCTGATATTTGAATAACAAAGGATGTTTATTATCTACTGAGTTGCCTACATGACACAGCTGCTAGCAATATCACATTCTGATTGGCTCATGTGGAAACCCAGGTGGTGTCACTGAATCATGCCTTTAAATTGAACAGACTGTAGACAGTTGGGGTCCATCATTTTAACTTAGTATCCTGATATTGTGAATCAAGTGATACAGGCTTCAACCATCATTCTTTGAGACTTGTATGAACTGCTCTAGATCAGCTTTCAGCGATGCCCTCTAGAATAACATAACAGCGTTCCTCTGCAAGCAAGACGCCTGTATTTCTTCGTTGTGTTGCAGAAGCCATTGACTGTCATCCATTTCTACATCCTGGAACTGTGAGTTATCACCAATGCACACTTCCCTAAGCAGTCCCCTATTTTAGTGACTTTATTCATTGCATTTTTCTGTGCTTTATTTCTTGTAATTATTTTGATAGGTATTAAAGCCAGGAGCTTTAACTCGACATTTTGGTGTACGTGTATTTCATTTTCAGTACTATTGTCGTGTCTACCCCATTATAGCAGTGAAAGAACCAGTGTCCAGTGTGAGTTCTGTGGGTGGCTCTCTCAATTGCGATAAGCAAGCCTTACACTGTGACACATTTAATACCAACAAAATTACATGCAAATGTATAAAGTTTAGTAAAAACAATGGAATTATCATCATATCACTCACTGTAAGAAATATACGAAAAATACCCGCTTTTAGTGATTTGTTGAGGTCGATTTTACACTTGTTGCACTCCCCGGATTGTATGGAACTTTTAGTATATATTATAGAAGGTCGACTACAACATTGACTGGACTATTACGATTAGTCCCCGTCGTGTCGTTTTTTATTACTATGATTGCAAAATATTTTTAGTAGAGAGGTCATTAGATTCAACATGTTTATTTTTTTTAATTTACATTTTAGTTATTATGAAATAAATATTTATGAATTATCGAAGTATTGGGTTGGTAGTCCTGAGTTATGGATTTCTGGTCATTGAAAATTAGGGCAATATGTGTGGAGGCACATTTCTCGGTACATGGATAAAGGGGTATTCTTTCACGTAATGTCACTGTCTATATCGGACTGAGTGCTAGGGGGAACTGGTGGGCTGTTGGTGTACAGTTTCATTCTTTGTAAATTAAAAACTCTTGATGTAGAACACTGCCTGCAGTATATGCTTTGCATCGAATGAAATAGCTTGAATTATACTACATTGCCTGCCTGAAATAAGAGCAGAAGAAATATAACAAGTTTGCTGAAAATTAAAGAATATAACGGCATCTTTAGCTTCTGAATGTAGCCTTAAAAAACTAGCCGCTGCACATCTAATGATTGACCAAAACAATCATTTCATATGGCTAATACAAGCAGGTTGTCAGAATTATGAGCATTTCCTATGCTCTTGCAAACACTACTGAAAAACAACTTGTATATCATGGTCCATTATTATCATTCAGTAGAATAGTGGTAACAATTTTGTTTATTTAAGATCCAGTGAAAGAAACTTGCTATAAAACATGCATTACAAATATTTTGTGTTCAAAGGATATAAGTGGAGGAAATAAATTTATTTGTGTTCATCTTAGGACAAGATATTCTGATTGGTTGTTTTTCGCGTCAATGCGTGGCCTTGTACAATCAAAATCATCGTTATATAGTATCAGGGTGCACACAGTAAAATTAACTGTTTCCGGGTCATAGCTGTTTTCAACGAAGCAGACATCAACAAACTTTCGAGTCGAATGAAAATTATTATTTTCCGTTATATTGCCAGTGTCAACAGTTTCCGTATACACACGTGGAAGCTCGTACGCACAACCAACATCTATTTGAAAAGCAACATTATTTTAACATGAGAAAGGGGAGTGGTCGATCAAAATGCAATTTGAACCAATGAGTGAAGAAAAACTGGTCCGACTGAGTGGGTACAGTCAAGAAGCGAGAAGGGTTTTGTGACGTTTTCGAATAAAACATTCTCTGTCTGTTGTCTCGTTCAGAACAGTAATTTAGCTTATACATTTCAAAAGACTAAGTATAGAGGTACAAGTTCGCACAAACTGGACAGTCATTGTTTACATAATTATCACGTGACATCAAAAATGGCGAACCTTGTAAAAATGACTAAGTCTGCGATTGCGAGAGCACACTGCGGGATTTCCTGGTGAAATTTACGTCATGTATTGTCCGTAATCAATTCCATTGAAATGTGTCCCCGGTAATCAAAAGACCTATTATTTCGATTTCTATGCAGGTTTGTTTTTTGGCCCCAAATTATTTCATACTTGGCACCTTTAACAGACTATTATTCTGTGACAAAGCATTTTCTTTAAAAACCCAGACATATTTCGCACCATCGTTATCTTTTGAACGATAACTGCGAGTTTGAATGTCCTAGTCCGAACGCACTTGTTTTTGCGGCGGTCTCAATGAGACGTACTCAGTCAAAACCGACACTGAGTGGCAGATTTTTCTTTGCTTCGCCTCTCAACGCTTTCTTTTCTTGCGTTAGAAAAAATGGTATTAGTAAAATAGAATACTGACTTGGAAAATAAAACGATTTAAAAGAAAGTTGCGCAAAGTTACATTACTTATTTCGCACAACCTCCCGCCCGCTTCCGCTTTCCAATCACCTTTTTTCTCTCGCTATTGCGACCGCTTGTTGAATTCGACCGGGCAATTTCCGCTTTGTTTTCGACCGCGCAAACCCCGAAATATCACCGCCCGCCCGCCAGTATTTAAAATTCGGATTAATAGAAAAATTTCCGAGGTTCACATTGTCTTACAATTGTCTTTCTGTTTTTTTATGAATGTTGAACAGCTGACAAATAATAACAAATATTACATCTAGAACAAGCACCCAAAACACGTAACAAGAGGTCACAGTTCAGTTGCTTTCACGATACAAGTGTCATACAACTATTAGATTTGAAGTGTCGTTCAGAATTTAAAAATAGTTAATACTAGTTGTATGTTCACACTTTACTATCAAAACCACCATTTCGACCACTCGTGTGCCAGTGATCACGATCAGTGTTTGGGCATGCGCAGTGCTTCGAGAATCTTCGCAAAGAATATATATATTTTGGGCCGAAGATTAGAGGAGAAATTTCCACGTGTTGCGGCTGATATCATGCAAGATGAAGTTTTTAAAAATGCATTTGACTTTTCACAGACCTTTGCAGGTTTGGACACAGAATTCAACCAACATGATTTTTGCGTGCATCATTTTGGTCTGGTTGATCCTGTGAAAATACTTATGGATAGTACACTGAAGTGTAAAAAAACATTAAGGGTGAAGAAAGGGAAATTGTTGAGGATAAACATTATGGTTATTGTGTTCATTTTATTAAATGTTTAAAGCAC